CACAAAATGAAGTCAGCACCAGTTGTTCTTGTTTGGTCTTTGTATTTTTAATTACTCAGATGCATACATGGTTTTGCATGCAAAAGATTCAAGCAAACAGAAGTATCTGTACCAAAAGACAAAACCTCCTTCACCCTCTTTCTCCTCAGACTCCAACCCAAAAAGTACCAAAATGTTAATAGTTTGAGTTTCTATCCAGTCCCTTTTTATGATAGGCATGTGATATATCTATGTTTATATATCTCTCTGTATACACACATATGTATACTTACATGTAACTATAGATTCTTAAAATTTTTTATGTCTTGGATCATATATATAATTTGAAGACTTGAGTTTTTTATTTAAGAGAATGCCTTAAAGATCATTGATATCTATCTATCTATACACATTTACCTTGTTGATTTTAACATTTGTGTAGTATATTATAGTTGGAGGTTCTGTTATTTAACCCCTCTGTTTTTGACAGACATTTGGGTTGTTGATAGTTCCTTAATACTTTAAACAAAGAAATAAGGCTAGGCCTCATGGCTCACCTGTAATCCTCGTGTGAGGCAGGTGGATTGCTTGAGCTCAGGAGTTCAAGACCAGCCAGAACAAGAATGAGATCCCATCTTTACTAAAAGTAGAAAAACTAGCAAGGCATAGTGGTGTGCACCTGTAGTCCTAGCTACTTGGGAGGCTGAGGCAAGAGAATCACTTGAGCCCAAGAGTTTAAGGTTGCTGTGAATTGTGATCCGATGTCACTCTACTCAGAGTGACACAATAAGAGTCTATCTCCAAAACAAACAAACAAACAAAAACAAAAAACCAAAAAAAAAAAAAAAGACATAAAACACATTCTTATTGCATATTGTTTTATATTTATGCAAAGATTGCTTTAGTAGTGCTTTATTAGGATAGGAAGAATTTGTGGAATTCCGTGTTTCTATGTTACGTGAAATAGTCACAGTGTGCATAATTTATTATGGAGGAAGGGATCAGACCTATTCCTGTCCCTCTTTTCCACATCATCTGTTGATATTCAGCTCAGATTGCATTGGAATGTGTTATTATAGGGATCATTGTCATTTGAGGATGTGGCTGTGGACTTTACCAGGGAGGAGTGGCAGTTTTTGGACCCATCTCAGAAGATCTTATACAAGGAAGTAATGTTGGAGAACTTCAACAACCTAGTATCAGTAGGTAAGGACA